GCCTCCCAGCCATCCCCAGGGTCTGTGGCTGGGAGGCAGCTGGCTGGCTGATAGTAGGTGCCCCAAACAACCAGGTGGTTGCATGACAGAGTGGCTACAATTGAGCTGACCCCCCAGGCAGAGTGAGGTATCACTAAAATGACAGTGACACTCTGCATGTCCAGATCCTCAGAGGCTGGGTTCAGCTCAGCAAGGAGAATGCGATGTTTGATGGCTGAAGGCGATGCTCGGAGCTCGAGCTGCCTTTTCCTTTTCCAGTTTTGCAGTCATCGTGGCTTCCCTTCTGAGGAGGAGTTGGTTCTCATCTTAGGCTTTTGCGGGGGTGCCCTGGGGATGTTCTCATCACTGCCAACTCTTGGAGCTGTTCTAGGTCTTGGCTTGGGGCCTTGAGGGTGGGCCTGTGTCAGAGGTGCTCAGCGAGCCGGGTGGAGGCAGTGGAGGTGGCAGGCATTGTCCTCAGGGTTCTCCACAGAGAAGACCCTTCAGAAAGACCCAGGGAGAGGAGGCAACTGGCTGTCCATGTCACACGCCACGTGTTGTGTTCTTTTCTAAAGAAAGAGACACAGCAAAGCTGTCTCTCCTTGCCTGTGCCCTGGATTTTTTGTTGCACATGGATGTAGAAGGTGGAATGTTTTCTACCCTTTCATGTTCTCCTAACCCACGTGGAACCATGGCTGTTGATTAGAGAAACCGTTAGCTGCCCATGACCCTGCTGCCAGCTCCGTTCCCTCTGCCTGTTGAGAGAGGCCCTCCTCGCCGAGGCCCAGGAGATTTGGAGACTGGGGCCAGGCTGGGTCTGAAGGAAGAGGAGGGAAGCCCACCCCAGTTCCAGTTCACAGGAAGCTTTGGGGCAAGTGCAGCTCGTTTTGAGCCATATGTACCCAGAAAGCTCTTCCTTCACTTTGTAGTCAGAGCCCCTGGTACTGTAGCCCATTCTCCTACACGGAGGATGTCGACGAAGATCTGCTCTCACTTCGTCTCTGGAAGGTCCCCCAGCATTCGGACTGGATGCTCCAGGAAATGGAGGAAGGACAGCAGGGAGCCGCTAACGTTTGCCTTTGCTGTTCTGAGCAGCTGGTGCTGAGAGCCGCCTTCTTTCTGGGGCCATGGTGTTCCTACTGTTTGTAGTGGCATGTCACCATTGTGCAGTGAGCTTGTGGGGTGGACATGCAGAGGCTGTCTGCACGGCCCACAGCAGACGTGCCCAGTGGCGCTGTGCCGAGCCTGGTCTGTGCTCCCTTGGATGAGGACACAGAAGCTCTTCAAGTTGACTTCCCTCTCCTTCTCCATCATCGCCCGCCTACCCCTAGCAGTGGTGCAAAAGAGGAGGACAGACTGGTTTTTTTGCACGCCTCTCACAATTCCACCTTGCCCACAGCCCAGTTTCTATCAGTCAGCATCCAACCAGAAAAACAGAGGCCACTCTAAGCATTTAAAACAGAGGGGTTTTAATCCAGAGACTTGTTTAACACAGAAACAGAAGAACTGAGAGGTCAAACAGCGAGTTAGGGACAACCCAGAGATGGGGAACAACAGCAAAAAGCTGCCATCACCCGATGCTAGTGGGACACAGGGGAGAGTCCATGTTACTAGAGCTGGGGGCCAGGCCACTGGGAGGAACCTGGGACCACAGAGGGCCTGTCTGGTGGAGCTGGAGCCGCCAGGAGGCAGGAGCCCTGCCAGAAACAATCCCCTAGGCAGAGAAGAGAGAGAAATTGCCTGGCTTCTCCCTTCCTTGTGCCCTCCAGATTCCTGCAGGTGCCTCTTGTTAGCTAAACCCAGCTGGAAGCCAGCTGACCTGGGAGCTGGGGGCAGGCGGCCTGCCGTGGTCAGCTCTCCACCACTCAGAGCAGAGCAGGGGAAGACGAGGAGCGGTCTGAGGGCAAGCAGGCCCAGGACGTGTCTGACCTTGGTCTGCTCTGTGTCATGTCCAGCCTGGTGTTTATGCCCCTTGCTGTCCTAAGACCTGGTAGAGGTAGACAGAGGAGCTGCCCCCATGGGGTCTGGTGGACTCCCTTTCACTCTGCCTAGAGAGGAAAGTGCTTTTGGGAGGGAGGGGGAAAGCCTTTATTCTCAAGAGTTGTCCTTGTTTTCCTTTGGGGGAATTTACTCATTTAGCAGCCCCACCTCACCATTCCCCTCAGGAAAGCCATGTCCCAGTTTACTGTGCACCCTTCCCCATTCCTCTCGCCCCAGTTTCTGGTTTTCCCTGCCAGAGAACACTAACCCAGACCATGCATCAGTGGTCATGAGCCTTTCCCCAGGATAATTCATTCAGAGCGTGATATTACAGTGTGGACTGTCTGTCTGTCAGTAGATGCCATCTACTAATCAATTTGTATCGTGTTTCCAATAAATTTCTGGAAGTTATGCCTAGTTTTATGCTGTCCTTTGCTGGCATGGCGGCTCAGCTGTAAGGCTCGGTGCCTGCCACGTCCCAGCCCTCAGCCTCAGGTGCTCCTTGTCTCAGGCGCTCCATCCCCCACATAGCTCATAGGCCAGGCCGGTTAGTCTGATCTCAGAGACCTTTCCCCAGGGTCTGCATTTTCTTCTGCTGTGTCATAAGCCACATCCTGAAGACATGGAGGTTTTGTGAGGCTAAGTCGCCCCAATAGGTGGCCTTTGAGCCTCGTGTCCCCTAGGTCTGGAGGTATGAGGAACGGGCAGATTGTCCCCATCCACCATTCTTGCACTGCTGCGCCCAGCGCCAGGTTGTGAGGACGTGTCCTGGCTGCTCGGATGGTGAGCTGAGGGAGCGTGCTGGGCTCCCCTAAGCGAGGAAGGCTCCTGTGCGAGTGAAGTGGACTCAGGAGCCGCACACTACACAGATGGAACCCTCTTCTGCATTCCACCCACGTCAGGCCCGAAAGTCAGAAATAAAAATGTCTCCGTTTACTTAAAAGGTATGAGGCGCCTGATCCAAATGCCGGGCATTCTCCACTGTTTCCCAGGCCCTGAGTGCTGAAACCTGCTTTGTAGAAATTTTTCTCTGTTGCGTGTTTTGTTCAAACCTGTTTGACTGCAGTGCAGACTCTGCCTCAGCTGCTGTGCTGGGGCCGTTGTAGACTCACTTGGGACCCCTCCAGGTCTGCCTGTGAAGTCTGGCTGTTTGTGACCCCTGTTTCCTGGGATTTGTGAGAGATTTAAGAAAAGAGAGAGAGGGGACCAGTGGTGCAGTGGTTAAGTTTGCGTCCTGGGGTTCACTGGTTCAGATCCAGGGTGTGGACCTACATGCCGCTTATCAAGCCATGCTGTGGTAGGCGTCCCACAAGCAAAATGGAGGAAGATGGGCACAGATGTTAGCTCAGGGCCAATCTACCTCAGCAAAAACAGGAGGATTGGTGGCAGATGTTAGCTCAAGGCTAATCATCCTCACACAAAAAAAAGAGAAAGAGACACTGAGTTTCTTTCAAGAGTTTCACTAGAGAAGCAAGACATACGCACGTGAGGAGAACAGAAAAGGCGGTAATTGAGGCTCTTGTAGGCGTTCCAGGATGGAGGCCTCAGTGAGGCTGGACTAGTGGTCAGGGACCCCTCAACGTGCAACACAACAGCCCCACCTCTGTGAAATCCCTCAGGTGCCCTGTTGTTCCCGGTGTCTTTTTATTATGACTCTTTATCCTGACTCAAATATCTCCCTCTTTCTGGAAGCTCATCTGTAGAGCTGGGAGTGTTGCCTGCCCTCCCTCTCAAGGTGTACCAACCTTAAGTTCCATTGCCGGGACTGGGTTTTTATGGTCAAACTTCCCTAGGGGTTTCTTCTGGATAAGTTTTACCTTCCATTTGTTCTTTTTTCTTTTTTTTTTTTTTTAAAGATTGGCACCTGAGCTAACAACTGTTGCCAATCTTCATCTTTTCTTTTTTTCTTCTTCTTCTCCCCCAACCCCCTCCCCCCCAGTACATAGTTGTATATATTCTAGTTGTGGGTCCTTCTGGTTGTGCTGTGTGGGATGCTGCCTCAGCATGGCCTGATAAGCAGTGCCATGTCCATGCCCAGGATCTGAACCAGCAAAACCCTCAGCCGCCAAAACAGCGCGCGCAAACTTAACCACTCGGCCATGGGGCGGGCCCAACCTTCCATTTGTTCTGATCTTGCTCCTGAACTGCAGAGAGTCACTGGAGGAGACCACATAGCCTGCAGGGACGGTTGCTCCCCCAGAGCTGTGGGTGCCCAACTCCCGAGGCCTCTTTGGGCTGCTTGCTTCATGGCCCTTTTATATGTTCTTCGGGCGCTTGTTTTCTTATTCCCAGGACAAGCTGTTCCAGTCCTTTGTCATTCCCTAAGCCCTCACTCACCCCCTGAGAGCCACGCCTTCTAAGAATCCCTTCACCCTTCTTCCCTTCTGCCCCAAGACCTACTGTAATAGTGCCTGTGCACCCGCCCAAGGAGGTGCCCCCTCGGCCTCTGGAGGACCCTCCTGGCACTACATGTTGGATCCATTCTCCCCACTCCCTTTAGGGCCTTGCAGTAGAACATCCTAACTCAAACCAGACTTCCACTTACTAGCTGTATGACCTTGGGCGAGTTAACCTCTCTGTGCCTCAATTTTTTCATCTGTAAAATGGGATAATAGTCTCTACCTGAAAGGATTAAATAAATTAGCATATGTAAAGTGCTTAGCACAGGGCCTAGGACAGGGTGTTTATTACTGCTCCACCATCATTCTCTCCCTTCTCCTCCTACTGCTATATATATTTAAATTTCTCCATCCAGTCAACAAAACAACAGAACAGTCAAACCACCAAAACGTCTGTCCTGAAGCTATTACCTCCCTTTACTGGCAAGTTTATTGAAAGAGGGAAGAGTTGTCTGTTACTTCATATCTCATTAATTCCTCAACCCATCATAGGATTTATGGCTTCCATTCTGCCCCACCCCCAGCCACTCGCTGATGTGGTCGATAAAGTCACTAGTGACCTCCTAATTGCCAAATCCAATACTATTTTTAGTTACCCTATTTAAGCTTTCTTGAGCATTTGAAGCTGTCGTCATCGTATTCTTTTTTTTTTTTTTTTGGTTGTTACACTGACCCCTTTATTCTCTACCCAGAGTGATGCTAAGTAACATTCAGATATTGGCCATTTTTTCAGGTTTTTTTACAAAGATAATTTCAGATATAATGGTCATCACCTGTATACCCCCTTTTCACTTTCCTTCTTTTCAGAAGTAAGCACACACTTTGATTTGGTGTTTATCATCCCAATGCATGATTTTATACAATCAATACATATGGATGAATCCATAACCAATATAGTACATGTTTTGCATATTATTAAATTTTATACAAACGACAACCTATCACTTCTTCAAAAGCTTTTTTTTAAATAGTACCAGACAATGCATCGTTAATCCAGGGTGTCGATCCAAGATGCTCGGCCAGACAGTGTCAGACACACACTTTGGTTTTCAAATCCGCTTTCTTCAGCATGCAATTAGGAAACTTTTGAAAAGGCTTTATTCTTGCACGAGGCACTTTGCAGCCTGTCTGGGTATTTTATGTTTGGCTTTTCCCCTCATAAAAGCTGGCTCGGTTCTGCTCTTTATCATGGGCAATCTCTTTCCTTGGGCAGAGAGATTGCCTTGGCTGCTTTTCAGGCTCTTTTTTATTGCTGCCTTCCTGGTTTTCTTCTTACTTAAAGGCCTCTTCTGGGCATTTCACTGAGTCTTCCTTTGTGTGTCCCTTGTAGGGATTTTTAAAAGAATGGTTCCTGGTCCTCTTCACTCTCTCCCCAGGTGACCCTGTCCATTCCCATAACCTCAACTCCCATCAGTAAGTGGAAGATTCTGGAATCCTATCTCCAGCCTGAAGTGTGCTAATGTACCTGTTTACCAGGAGGTTCTCCAAAGCCCTCCAATTTGTCTTAACTTTGTATCTTCTCCTCCAAACCTGCTCTATCACCTGTATCCTCAATGTGTCACATCCACCCATCATCCATGCAGTCACCTCTCTTCTTCCCCTGGGCTGTGCCTGTCCACCTGTCCCTTCATGCTCTCTGCTGCTGCCTTTATTCAGACCCTTGCTTGGAATACAGACTGTTTCCTACTTAGGTCATCTCCCACACCCCCTCACTAGTCTGTGTACATGGTTACCAGAATAACTGAACAAAATGCAAAACTGATCATCTTTGACTTCTTAAAAATCTCATGCTCACTCCCTTTTCTGCCATAGAGGGTTGTCTGCAGGACCAGCCCAGGCCCCTGAACCTGCAGGGTCCCGCCTGCGTTTCCCGCCTGCACCCCGAGTCTTCTCACAGCTCTGTGCCCTTGTTCATGCTCTTCCCTATGCCAGAGGTCCCGTTCCCTTTGCCACTTTCCTCATCCTCCACGATTCAGCTTACATGCATCACCTCGCTGACACCCAGGCAGAGTTAGCCCTTCCGACCTTCTGTGCTCTCAGGGGTGCATTGCTTCCTTGAAAACCTTGGATTACACTGGCTTGGGTTGCATTTGATTCATTGCAGGTTTGCCTGTCCCAGGCTTGGCCTAGAGGGGCATAAGGTCAGAGTTGTATTATCTGCCTTTGTTGCTTAATGTCTGGCCCCTGGTGGGTGCCCAGTAAACTAGATGATTAGCGACTCTGGGCCCATCAGCCCAGCCCTGCCTGCTCACCCCACACAGGAGTCCCTGGTGACAGCGGGTTACATTAGGAGAAAGACAAGAGAGAAGCTGCTGCCTAACATTTACATTGAGTAGTGCAGCCCACCCCAGGGACCAAAATGCTATTTGGAACCCAAATGTAGAAGATGGGGTCTTTACTCAGCTTGCTTCCAACTCACCTTATACCACCACGGGCACTACCCTCCATCTGTAGAAAACCCTGCACTTCACCCAGTTTGCTTTCTCCTCCTCCTCCCCCACCCCATCCCTTCTCACTCCCCCCACCCACATAAAACTACCTTCCTCACTCAGTGCTCTGGCGTATCAGTTATTTCCATCTCCAACCCCTGGAGTTAGGCAAGGGCCAGGATCACTGTTCCCATTTCACAGATGGAGAACTGAGTCCAGAGACAAGTACAGTGGGTTGGGGCCAAGGTTAGGACCAGAGAGTCCCTCCATGTGGGGAGAGTGTGGAGGCAGCCTGAAGCCTGCTTCTCTCCCATGAGGGGACACCTAGACCCCCTTTAGAGAGGGCCTTATGAAGGATGGTGTGGCCTTGCTTGTCTGTGAGGGAGCAGTCCTTAACTTCAAGATGAGGGGTAAGGAGGACCCAGGGTAGGTTAGGAGCGTCAGCTTGCTCCCTATGACCAGCATCTACCCAGAGGCTCCTCAGGGGAGAAACAGCAGTGCATATAAGCCAGGGGGCTGTCTGGTCATTTCCTTCACATCAGGCAGGGGGAGAGTGAGCCCAGTTGCTGAGAGGGGTGGGAGTACCTGACGGTGGTGTTGGGGAGGAGGGTCCAGGGAACAGAAGACCGAGGAAATGGCACATGGAGCGCCATTTGCCCGTAGAACCCAGGCGGGTTCAAACGTGGGAAGAGATGATACCGGATAGAAGGTGCCTGGTGATCAGCACCCACCACATGTTAGCACTGCAGCGGTGAGGGCTCCATGAGAAAGTGCTCGGTCCCCAGCCTCCAGGAGTGTTTGGGCCTCATAAAAATGTCTGACTTGGAAATGACAAATCTCCGGCTGAGGTTGGGCTGGCCCAGGCCTGGTGGCAGAAGGTGGAGAGGTGAGGAGTCCTCAGGAATGGCTCTACCAGGTGCAAAAGGCGGCAACAGAGGGAGGAACGAAGCGGGGCCACCTTGGAGAGGCCCAGGCAGCACACGGCTTTTCTGCCACTTGGTTTGGCTTCTCAGTATCTCTGTGGGTTTCTGAGAGCAGCTGGTGTGTTTTCAGAAAAGAGAAAAGGGCTAGAGACACACAGGGGAGATGGGTTCCAATATCCACCTAACCTTTTGTCCCCCAGGTCATACCCCTCCGCCTGATATGTTTTCTCCATCTCCCACCCTAACATCCACACTGCTCCTGGATGCCTCCCTCCCGGGGTGTGGGTGACTCTCCTGGGCTTTGGCCTCCATTCCTGAGGACTTTCAAGAGAGGGACAGGATCCCCATCCATGACATGAGAGGGTTGGACTAAGAGGATTAAAACTCCGAAGGGAATTAGGGAAAGGGGATTTGGTCCCCATCATCACACCCTGTACCTGAGGCCTAGAGGCCCGTGGCTGGGGTGATGAGTGGAGAACCAGTCCCAGCCCCTTCTGTCTCCCCAGCAGGGAGGGGCGTGTGAGTTGGGGGGAGGTGTTCATTCCCTCGAGGTGGCTAGGGCTGGGGATACACAGGGTTCAGGAGGTGCATGTTTGGGACTTTAGTGACCGCTAGCCCTTTGGAAGCCTTGAAGGCTACACTCCCTGCCCCGCCATGACTTCCCCTATGGACAGTAGGGCCAACACTACCCCACCCCCACACCAAAAGAAACCCCTGACTCCTGTCAATGGGTGGGTTAGCCCAGCAGTCTCAGACACTGACCAGAGGCACACTGGAAAGAACAGAAGGGAGTAGAGGCGAGCACGATGGCTTTAGTCCTGAGGGAGGGCTATGAGCCAGCTCTGGTGACCCTGAGGGCCCTGTCCTGGTTCCAGGGTCAGGGAAGGATACTTGGGGCAGAGGGAAGCTATTGGAGGGAGCCGAGCTGAGCCAGGAGCCTGAACTGGATGGAAGCAGTAACCACCAAGGCTGAAGATCCCCCCGTCGTCCCAGGCAAGAGCAGGGCAGGGTCCTTGGTGCCTTGGGCAGGACCTTGGGGGGACTGCAGAAGGGGAGCTGAAGGCCAGAGAGGAGCAGGCGCCTCCCAGGGATTCAGGCAGGTCACCCATCCCTTGAGCCTGAGGACTTCACCCAGGGAGGCGTTCTGCCTCCTTAAGGACACTCCAGGGCTCCGGGAGCAATGTGGGAGGACGGTGCCTTTGACAGCTCCCCCACTCACTCTGTCCTCAGAGTGTCCCTTCATCTTGGGACCCTCACTTTGAACCCTATGACATCAGGGCTGGAAGGATCCAAAGTCATTTGTTTGGTTTTCCTTAGAACAGCTGAGATAGGCTTGCATTTTCAAAAGGAAGTTTATTAGTATTGAAAGGGGCAAACTGGAGATCACAGAAAATGCGGCTGTTGATTTCTAAAGCAAGACTTCTGATTTCACAGTAACCACGCTCTGGCCCCGGGACTGGGCAGCTGTGTGGCCCCTTGTCTGAGCTGGAGCCCCCACAGCCCCTGCCTGTCTCTGCTGCCCTCATGCTCTTTCCGGTGCTCTGGGGACATAGTCCTGGGCACACTACTCTGTAAACCCAAGACTCTTTTCTCTCCCTGCCACCCACCTGGCTCCTGCAGACGTCCCTTGCCCAGTTGGTTGAGGTACCTGTGCTGGCAACAGTGCAGGGAGTGACCTTGTCCCTCCAGCCCAGGGCCTGGCGTCCTCACTCCCGTGGCACTGCAGCAGGCCTGCAAGGGGTCCTCCTTACTCCAGGGAGACCTCCAACGAGACCTCCTTCTGTAGCTTTCCTGCGGTCCCCACCTTCCTAGCGGTCGTCCGGCGCCGGGTGGACGGCTCGTAGGAGCTCTCGTCTTTGGCTGGGTCCTCCCGGCTCTGGGAGAGGCCCAGCAGGGCGCGAGCCTGGCGGAGGAATTTGGGGCTGGAGAAGCAGTAGAGGACCGGGTCCAGGACGCTGTTGAGGTAGGTGAAGGCCAGGGAGCTGTGGAAGAGCTGCGAGCAGATGTCGAGGGTGGAGCAGGCACGCAGGCGGAAGGCCACCATGGAAGCCAAGCCAAAGATGACGCTGGGCAAGAAGCAGATGGTGTAGACGGCCACCACCACGGCCAGCACGCGCATGGCCCTCCGCGGGCCCGCCTGCCCTCCCAGGCTGCGGCGCCGGATGGTGAGCCCGATGCTCACGATGGCAAAGAGGATGAGCGCCAGCGGCAGGAAGAATTCCAACACATACAGCGCCTGGTGCCAGCGGAGTGAGGCCGAGGGGCTCGTGCCCAGCCGGTAACTAAGGCAGGAGGAGTTGGAATAGGTGGTCAGGAGCAGGTGCCCGTTGAGGAGCAGGATGCCCCCCCAGAGTCCTCCCGCCACCCAGGCGGCCGCCTGCACTGAGGCCCGGCTCAGCGGGTGGTGGGGCCGCACCACCTTCAGGTAGCGGTTGAGCGCGATGGCCGTGAGGAAGACCACGCTGGCTGTGCGGTTGGTGGACAGCATGAAGAGGTTGATTTTGCAGGCAGCGGCCTTAAAGCGCCAAATCTCGTGGCGGAAGTAGTAGTCCACGCGGAGGGGCAGGTTGATGATCAGGAGAAAGTCCGCGATGACCAGGCTGACCAGGAACACCGTGTTGGACGTCCCCCCCCCCCCCCCCCCCCCCCCCGCAGAGGAGGCAGGGCTCAGCAGGGGTGAGATGGAGGCCCAGAGAGACCCTGAAGTGGGAGGAAGGCCCAGCTGGGGTGAGGTGGGGGAGAGTGTTTGCAGCCCTAAGTCATCAGACATTTGTTTGCCTGAAGGCAGGAGCTGGTCCTGGCAACCCACAGCTCTCAGGATCACACAGACCACCCTGGACACCCCCGCCACCCCCCGCCCTCCATTCTATATACAGGCTGGGTGGCTGCCTCCCTGCTCCCACCAGCTCTGGCAACTGGGACTGTGGAGAGGGAGGTGGGGAGTCCAGTCAACACCTTGACCACCAGGCTCCTGTACTTACTCCCACATTCCTGATGGTTCCAAAGTCTGTGATGGTCCCAAGTCCACGTACATGATGAAGTATAGCCCACAGGCAGAGGGCTCCCTTGCCAAGTTTCTACTGCCATGACCTGGGGACCTGGGGGCTTCTCCCCCAGACAATACCATCCTGAGAATCCTCAAGTCTCCCTGCCACTGTCCACCCCAGCCTGCCATCACCCTGTATTCACCGCAGAGAGGGGAGCAGGGGGCTGGGGCTGGCTTCAGACGAGGTACAAGTCCTGCTCTCCCATTGTGTGGTGTTCTCATGAGCCCATGGGGCCAGGCTTGTGGGCAGAGGTGAGGGCCTCGGCTTCTGATAGCTAGGACAGTACCAAGAGAGGCCGTGGCTCCAAGCTCCAGGACCTGACGCCCACCCCTTGCCATCTGGCTGTGGTCAGCAGTGTGCCCTGTGCTTCCAACTCTGCCTAGGCCTCTGGGTTTCAGGCACGTGGCCGTTGGCCCCTCTCCCACAGATCTCCAGGTCTTTTCTCTGCCTTGGGCTCCCATCTGGCCAAGGCTGAGGGCAGATAGGCTGCGATCACAGGGTGCAGGGTGGTAAGACCACCAGCCTGCAGTTTGAATGCAGACAGACCTGGGTTGGAAACACAGCTGCCTGCTTTCCAACCCTCTCTGAGCCTCATCTGTAAAATGGGGTGCTACCACCTGCTGGAGAGTCGTGAGGATTAAATGAGATAACGTACGTAAAAACACAGTGATGAGAGCCCCTCCACAAGCAGGCACCCCCGAAGAACAGACCCTCCACACGTCCACGGTCACCCAGTGCCCCTGGCACCCCAGACACACACAGTCATAGGCACATGGGGGCTGCCATCGGCGACAGCCTGTATGCATCAGACCCAAAGGTGTTCATCCACCAGGAAGCCTTTATTGAGGGAATTTTTGGTGGCAGGCAAGTGCCGTGCTGGCAAAAGAGGGATGGAGAGGCAGCCCAGCCTCAGGGGGCAGACCACCAGGCAGAACCGTTCAGGGAAGAAGGCTGTTAGAGGGGGAGGGGAGCAACCAGCCCCCCAGGAACCTGTCAACTCAGAGGAACAGGAGGAGAATGGGTGACAATGATGTCCAGGGCCCAGCGTGTAGGATGCTGAGTCGCTCAGCAGCAGTACAGGTAGAAGCAGTGGGGTTGGGAGACTTATTTGGCAAGGGTGGTCCTTGGGCACACCCTGTGGCTGCGTTGGGCCCACAGAAAGAGGGTCACCCCAGGGGTTTCTTGCAGGCAGGGTCCTGGGTCACGGCCAGGGCTGCAGAGCCTTGCCCTCGTTCCCAGGCATACCTGTGGAGACACAGGTGGGCAGGGCTCAGACAAGGCTGGCCCTGAGGACCCCAGGGAAAGGAGGGCGGTCCCACTGCTGGGGGAAAGTCCTCCCCGTGTACGCACACAGTCCCGGCTGGCACCAGGAGGCTATCATCGGGGGTCAGGCTCAGGTGTTGTCCCCTTATTGTCACCACAGAGGAGCCCTCCTGGGAAAGAGGAGCAAGGGAATCCAATGGAGGCTGTTGGTCCTCAGCACCTGTCCAAGCATCCCTGAGTCTGCCTTGGCAAGGAGGCCCTGGGGGCCAGTGTGGGCTATGGGAGTCCAAGGCCCAGGAGCAGCCCGGTCCCCGTGCGCAGGAGGTTGTGCCACCCTCTGCCACAGGCCCCACTTGCCAGCTGCCACAGCCACACGTCCACGTCCTGTCTCAGGTCTTTGCTGCTGCCTTGTCCGTGGACGATCACCTGGTAGGAAGTGACACAGATCTTCCTGGTGCTTCGTGCCCCACGTAGGAGATGGCCTTGAACCTGGCCCCCAGTCACCAGGCCTATGTGAGGCAGGGTGGGGCCCGCAACGCAACCAGGACTTGGAGAGGAAAGCTGCCTTCATCACGACGGGGGCTGCCCACCTGCCTTCGGGATCACAGGTGCCTGCCCTTCATATGCATGTGCACATCTGTTACACGTCACAACTGCACATGCATCTTACACATGTCACAACTGTTGCTGACCCGTATGAAGGCATGCCTGCCAGGGGCACACCAGGGACACACACACACATGTGTACACGGCATAGTGCAGCTCCATGTAGTGCACACACGCGTTTCCCCAAAGGGTGCCACCCCCTTCCTCTGTGAGATTCTGGTCTAAGGAGGAGGAGAAGGGAGATGGGAGGGGATGAGCAAGAGGGAGGCTGTCCCTCTCTGACCTGCGTCAGCCCAGAAGCCCACAGCTACTGTGCAGGCCGCGCTCCCGCTGGCCCAGAGTGGGACTCAGTAGAGAGTCGTGGGTGTAAACTGAAGCAGGTAGGAGCAGGGGTGTGAAGGAGGTGGAAGGCAGGGACATGAGGCCAGCTGGGTGCTGAATGACGTTGCCTGATGGGGTGGGAGGGGCTTTGTGGTGTGTGCCAGCTCTCACAGCCCTGTGAAAGCTCTCGGGGTCTGCTGGTCGGGCCTCTAAGGGTGGGTCTGTATCCAGTGAGCATCCCTTCATGGGAGTGTCGAATTCAGACTACAAGGGATGTGCCAGTGACAAACTGTAAAGCACAAGAGAACACAAAAGCACAAGAGAACACGAGCCTCCTGGCAGGTCTCCTTGCCCTCCTGATCCCGTCCCCACACACAGTACACTGATCTTTCTGAAACACCACTCTGGCCTCCTCATGCTACTGCTTCAATGCTTGGGTGAAGCTCTGCTGTCTTCAGGATAAGTCCTTGCACCTTGCCGAGCGCAGGAGACCCACCAGGACCTGGACTCTGCCTGCCACTCTGGCCTTCTAGCAATTGTACCTGCTGCCCTACTTGCGTGCCCTGGCTCCAGCCAACCTCAGCTACTTGTACTTCCAGGCTGTCTCAAGCTTCCATGCCTTTGCTTATGCTTGTCCCTCACCTACAATGCTGTCTCCATCGCCCTTTCTTCCTTTTGCAAACTCCTACGTTCACCTTAAAAGGCATCTTACACATCACCTCCTCCAGGAAGCCTTCCCTGACTTCCCTCCCAGGCTGTGTTCCTCCTTTATCCTCCTACAGCTTCCTAAAGCTTCTCTACCAAATAAGATATCACATGATTGTGACTGTTGATTAACTTGTCGGTTTACTAAACCTTACATTCTTTGAGGCAGTGACTCTATCTTATTTTCCTACCAGAGCCTGAAACATAATAGGCACTCAATAAATGTCGAATGGAAGAGGGCTGGCTTTGTTTGAGTCTCTCTCTGGGCACCTCTCCACCCAACCCTCACCCCAAACACCTCTCTCTTCCAGCTCCCAAGGCTGTGACTAGCCAAAAGCCCAGGAATTCCTAGCAAAGGGATAATCCCAGACCGTCAGGAACCTGTCAGTGGAGGGGCAACCCCCTACTCTGAAGGCAAAAAGATCGCTTGGGACACGTGCTTCCACTCATAGTGAAGTCATCATTCTCTGAGTCAGGGAGGAAGCAGGAAGACCTACGTCCACATCCACAACCTCTGAAACTGGTGTGTGTGTTTGCACGCGTGCGTGATTAGTTCCCATTTCCTGGGGCTTCTGGGTGGATGCCCGTGGTGGCCCAGGGCTGCATTACCTGGGTCTCATAGGTGTCCCCAAACAGGCTGAGGGGTGTGCCAGCCTGCAGCTCCCTGTGGTGGCCATCCAGCCAGGCCTCCAGGGACATGGGCTCCATGACGGATCGTGTGCTCAGCGAGAACGGCGGTTCCTTGAGCAGCTGGTCTGCACCCAGAGCACAGCACGGTCAGTGTCCTCTGGCCCAGCCTGCCCAGCCCCAGCGGGCCCAGTTACCAGGGGCCCCAGCTCTCAATCACCAGAATGGGCTCTGGATCCAGCTCAAGGACCATGCAGCCATAGGGAGTGTGTGTGTGGGGGGGGTACTATTTGGTGGCATTTTCTTGTACCCTGAGTACTGGGCAGAGTACTCTGGGCCAAGACTCATCCTACTCTGGGAAAGGAGGGAAAGAGGGGGAGACATGGTTCCCAGTGCCCTTACCGGGGTTTGGCTTTCCCGTTCTGTGCTGCTCAGAGCTGAAGAACCTGCAGGGACAAATGGGGAGGAGGAGGAGTGGCCAGCATTCCCAAATGAGCGGCTAGTGAGACACACACACACACAGAGATGGGGCCCACACATGATTCATTGTATATGTGTCATCCCCTCCCTCCCAGATCCTCCCCAGGGGCACTCCAGCCGGGACCCTCCCACTCAGGGAGGGGCAGACTTTCTCCCTAAATCCCAAGTGTGATGGTTTGCAGCAGGTGCTGCTGTGAAACACTGCTGGGATGGGTCTACCCTCCCCGGCCAGAGCATGGGGCCTCAGGAGAGCGAGGGGCAGGGGCAGGGGCTGGGCTGGGGGCTCACTCCTGGATGATGGGAGCCAACTGTGTGCCAAGGTCCTCGCAGTAGAACCACTTCTCAAACAGGACGTCTGTGGTGTCCCCCACGTAGTACCTGTCAGAGCAAAGCACGGGCAACCCAGCTCCCCACCTGGGCGGCCTCAGAGCAGCCTGGCTCAGGCCTGGCTCTGCTTGTGGACGGCTGGGCCCTGGCCAGCCCCGCAGGGCTGGCTGCCTGCTTCCCCCTGTTAGCGCAACCTAGTGGTCAGTGCCGGCACAGCCACTCCTGGCTCTCCCAGAAGCACAGGTGTGCCCCCAAGGTGGGAGGGCTATCATTGACTCCATCGGCACGGTGCTTCCTGGTTCCTGAAACTTGACCACTTACAAAGGGGATGGAACTCTGAGGCGCAGGGAAGCCGGGCAACTTGGGAGGAATTACACAGCCTGTGAGTGGCAGAAGCAGGATAGAGTCGAGACAGTCTGAGAAGCGTAGACAGCATCAATGACAAGCGTCTTTATTTTTCCCAAAGGGGAAGCCAAGGCTGAGTCTGAATCCAGCACCTGCAGCTAGGCTCTGCCAGGTCAAAACATGTGCAACCCTAAGGAACCAACCTGGGAAAGACGCCCCCAGATGAGGGGTCCTTCTCCCTTCAGGGTCATGGGTACCTTTGAGACTGGAGCAAAGCGCTGGGCATCTTCTCTGGAGGAAGGTCCCTATGCATGTACACATAAGCTTCTAGTAGATTCCCAAACCCCCAGCGCGACTCTGTGAGCTCCTCCTCTGGTCCGAGGAGTGCCTGGCAGACTGGGCCATGCCTCAGGCCCCAGTGTGTGCAGCACATCTGCTGACTGAACACCTAATCCCCGGGCTCAGCTCCAGGGGCCAGGCCAGCTCTGTCTGCTCTTCAACTCCTCCCCAAAAAGAGAAGTGGTCCTGCTTATGGAAGATGGTTTACACACACACACAGTGCATCCACCCTGCCTGGCATCCTAAGTCCTATCCTGGGATGGAGCAGGCCACCAGAAAGCTTCATAACTGGAAGGCAGTGTCCTCTAGGAATTGCCCTCAGAGTGGCATTTTAATGTCGAGTCCTGGCTTTTATTAAAGGTCAAGAGCAGCCAGACAAAATCTGTTATTGAATTTACTATAAAAATGTTATTGAGGACTCCTTCCTCTCCATCATTAAAGACTCTCCCTATAAAACCCCATGTGAAAAATTTCTTTTAGAATTTAAGGCCAAGCAACTGTCTCTACAATAAACTATTATGCAGTAGATGAGTATATAGTCATTAACATTTATTTTGAAGAAGAAGATTAGCCCTGAGCTAACATCTGCCGCCAGTCCTCCTCTTTTTGCTGAGGAAGACTGGCCCTGAGCTAAGATCTGTGCCCATCTTCCTCTACTTTATATGTGGCATGCCTACCACAGCATGGCTTGCCAAGCGGTGCCATGTCCGCACCTGGGATCTGAACTGGCGAACCCCAGGCTGCCGAAGTGGAGCCCCTAACATTGTATTTTTTGAAAAGGATTTATAGTATAAGAATTACTCATGAGTTTTTAATATTAAAAAAGCAGAACTCAAATCCATACTTGCAATAAGACTGCAATGCTATAAGGCATAGATATGCACAGGAAAAAGACAAGATGCAAGTTAAAGTGTTTCGTTAGGTTTAATTGGTGGGAACGACAATTTTTTTCTCTTTATTATTGTTTATTTTGTTTTATTGAGCTATCATATTCGTACCATAAAATTCACCCTTTTCCTGACAAATCATTTTAATTTTGTTCATTTTGCTTTCTTGTACTTTTCCAGATTTCAAGACTGAATGTGTATGACCTTGGTAATTAGAAAAAAGGGAAGCATTAAAAAATGTCCATCATAACAGAAGATGTGAGGCAGAGTATCCTGACCCCAGTAACTTGTTGGGAAATTTTAATTTTCTTAAAAATAGTTTAGCTTTTGGAAAAATCTGTGTCCCCCTGAGCCACAGGCTGCATCCTCCTTTCGGGGATGAAAATCAGGTGACTGATTGGAAGCAAATAGGGACTCAGCTACAGAACAGAGCGCTGTCTCTGCCCCAGTGTTCGTCCCCTCCCTGGTGCGGACTCACTCTCCTAACGAGACTGTCCTGGCCCCAACTTCATGTTTCTCTGCAATGCCAGCTCTGCCACTTTCTGGCAAACTCAACTTCCCTGTGTCCAATTTCTTCATCTGTAAAGCACAGATGAAAACAGTACCTACCCCAAAGGATCATGTTGAGGATGGAATGAATAAATACGCACAATGCGCTTAGCCCATCCCGGCACACAGCAAGTGTTATACAAATGTTAGTGCTGGTTGAGTGAGCTGGAGAAGGGAAACAAGCAGAGGCATGCGCTGGCGGAGACTGAATAAGCTCTAGGGTTGGAGGCTGGGGGAGCAGGAGTGTCCCCCGCTGCCCTAGGCCAGGAACATCTGACTTTGGCTCCACCCACACCCCCCAGCAGACCTCAGTGTGGAAAGCATAGGTTCTGGTCCCAGCCAGAAGGTCTTTAGGATGAGTGGGCTCCCAAGGGCTCACAAAGAACATCCTCGCCACCCCCACCATCAAACCAACTCCACCACCTACCCTAACCCCTCCCCATCAGCCAGCAAATACAGGATTTCCATTGCCTCCAACCCTTTCAGTGGCCAGGAAGCACTTTCTTGGGTGTATCTTGGATCCGTCCCTCCACTGTTTGCCCCTGTCTCTCTGCCCCAGACCCCCAGACAAGGCTCATTTACCTGAGCCCATCTAACTCCGTTTTCAGCCGCTTCCGCTCAATCACCAGCCCCACGGTGTTGGCAAACCTCTGTGGAGAGTGGGGGACCCTGGCAGGCAAGAGGAATATCTGCAGTGGGTGGGGACAGATGCCAGCAACGCTGTAATCCTTGACAGAGACCTCAGTGCCTGCAGCGTCCTGGGCCTCCCCAGCTGACCCACAGGATCCCCTCCAGCCCACCTCTCTGCCCAGCCTCCATCCCCGGAACTGCAGGGAAGGTCGGGCTGTGTGAGGATGGGCAGCCTAGAGGAGGCAGTGCCCAAGGATGGGGCCAGGGCAGGCTGGGGGGGCAGGAGGGCAGGGAAAAGCGGGGAGGACAAGGCCTCCACCAAAGCCAGGATGAGTGGACACAGTGGATTCCTCTCTGGTGGCCCTTTGCCCCCACCCCTGGGGCCCCCTGCTCCTCACCTCTCCCTGCCGAATGATCACATCCCGGTGCTTCCCTCGCTCCAGGACTCGGAGAACCATGTCACCCTCCAACTGGTAAAACACCTGTGAACAGGACAGGAGACAAGCTCGGACTCTCCGAACTCCCTCTTCCAGGTCCTTGGCCTGAATTCTGACCAGGAAACCTGAGAAAATTCCTGGATGCCTCAGAGTGTATTAGCAGCTCCGTCACTCCTGCCCTGAGGCCCCAGCCTCCTCTGATACATGCTACAGACAGGAGGGCTGGGGACACACAAGGATCGCATCTTGACGCATAAGTGATGACCAAGGTACCCAGGACACAAAAGTTGGTGTCTGGCTTAGGGGCAGGAGGCTGGCTGAGATGCTCACTGGAGAATCCAGTGACCCTTCAGCCAGGTAAGGAGAATCACCCATTTGTTGTGTCTCAGGGGCTATGCAGGCACTTTCTTATACATGGTCAGAAGTCTTTACAACAACCTCCAAAGGTATTATTAGCCTCATTCTGCAAAAAGCAAAAATGAAGACTGAGGCTCAGAGAGTAAAGCAACTTGTTCAAGGTCACACATTTAGTTAGTCCTAGAGCTGCAGTTTGGGCCCGAGTCTGTGTGTAGCTCTGGAGCCTGTGCTGGCTCCTCTGGCCACGGTGACGCCCTGGCATGGGGTGGGGCTGCGCCTGTCCAAATCCCTTTGGAGGTCAGCCAGTAAATGGTGGACTCGATGCTGGAAGCTGGGGTGGCCTGAGGGCTGTGAAGGATGGCAGCCCTTGCCTCCTGCTATCTCCCTAGGGTGGGGTTGGGTGGGGCCCCTACTGCGTTTTTCCTATTGCATCTTAAGTCCCTAATTAATGTGTTTACATGTTTACTGAGATCACTCCATGGAGCTGGGAGGCCAAGGAGGCAGACACATTGTTCTCTCCACCAGTCACACATTGCCTGGGTATTAAAAGCCCCAGCCAAATAATTGAAGGAGTGTTATTAATAATAATAATTATCATTATCATGTAAGGAGTTAGAGATAGAGGTTCTTGTCACAGCATCTACAGTCATGCACCACAAAACGACGTTTCAATCATGTCAGACCCATGGTCCCATGAGATTAGTACCATATAGCCTAGGTCTATAGCAGGCTATACCATCTAGGTTTGTGTAAGTAAACACCGTAGAAAGAAGTACTGTGTAAGAAAGAAATTTTCCTCTACTCTTCTAGATTCTTCTGGCTGGTCTAAGAATTAAATTGACATGAGACAGATTAACAGGAGAAAAACAAACAAAAGTTTAATAACATGTATACATGGGAGAAGCCCAGGAAAACCGAGTAACTTGCCAGAATGGCTGAAGCCCTCACCTTAAATACCATCCTCAGCTAAAGACAAAAGAAGACGGGGATGGGGAGAGTCAGGGACTTCAAAGGTAAAGAAGGCAATTCACACGTAGGTGAAAAGGAGCAAATGTTTGGAAAACAAGTGTTTGTTTGGCCACACAGAAACAGAAGAACACAGAGGGGAGCCCAGCAAACAGGCTTTTCTAGGTTCCTCCTGTCTACCACCTAGCTCATGTTATGCAAAGGTGATAGCTTGCTTCCTGAGACAGGTTTTTTCATCTGAATTTTTTTAAGCAGTTAAGGGAGAAATAATAAGAAAAACTTTGTCTTTCTTTTCTTAAAAATAATCAGCCTAAAATAATTCTCAGGTTGAAGAGACACATTTTGGGGTGGCAAATTTTATTCCCCTTCATTTCACTCTAGAATGTTCGCACAATCACAAAATTGTCTAATGACGCGTTTCTCAGAACAAATCCCCATCAGTAAGTGATGCATGACTGTACGTACTAACAGAAATCAAGCTGAGCTCAGAGAAACTAGAGAAATGTGGCCTTACAGTCTGCCATGAAGGGCAAGTTGACACAGCCCCTCTGAAGGGCAATTTGGCAGTGGGCAGGCAGAGCCTTCACAGCTCACACCCCTGCAGGACGGCCTGAGGGCTTTCTTGGGATGCAGGATCTTCAGTGCTGAAACCAGGGAAGTCCAGGGCAGACCAGGACAGTTGGCTACCTTACACTCTTGACTAGTAATTCCATCTCTAGGAAGGTGGCTGCAGTGAATCAGAAATGCACCAGGGCCGGCCCAGTGGTGCAACAGTTAAGTGCACATGTTCCGCTTCAGCAGCCCGGGCTTCACCTGTTCGGATCCTGGGTGCAGACATGGCAGTGCTCAGCAAGCCATGCTGTGGCAGGCGTCCCACATATAAAGTAGAGGAGAATGGGCATGGATGTGAGCTCAGGGCCAGTCTTCCTCAGCAAAAAGAGGAGGATTGGCAGCAGTTAGCTCAGGGCTAATCTTCCTCAAAAGAAAAAAAAAAAGAAAGAAAGAAATGCACCTGCCTCGTGGTGCCCATGAATGGGTGTTTATCATAGCACATGGTAGTTAAAAGCATAGATTCCAGCATCGGCCAAGTGGCCATGCACCCTTGGTTAACTCAGCCTTTCTGTTCTTCCATTTCCTCATCTATAAAATGACAGTATCTACTAAGAACGTTGCTGTGAAGTCTGTCTGGGATGCTGTACATTAACGTACCCAGCACATAGTCAGCACTGAATAAACCCCTAGCAACTAATATTAGTGATAAGAGGAATAGCAAAAATAACCCTAATAATAATAATAGGGAAAATGTCACTTTTATGATGGGGTAAATATGGAACATTATGCAGCCATTAAAAACTATGTTTGTGATTATCATGTTACAGCAAGCTTCAAAACTACACCAGGAGGATTCTAATCACATAGCGACACGTGTATAAATACAAGCAGTGTTCACAGTGGTTCCCCTGAGTGGTGGGATTATGAATGAGGTATACATTTGTCTTTTCTATATTTCTCATGTTTTCTACAATAAACAATATTTACTTTTATTATTAAAAATAATGCATACATTGGGCTGGCCTGGTGGCTTAGTGGTTAGGTTCTAGTGCTCTGCTTCAGCAGCCCAGGGTTCAAGGGTTCAGATCCCAGGTGTGGACCTATGCACCACTCATCAAGCCATGCTGTGGCAGTGTCCCACATACAAAATAGAGGAAGACTGACACAGACGTTAGCTCAGGGGCAATCTTCCTCATCAAAAATGAATAAATAACCCGTGCAAGTTATTTAAAACAAGTAAGAAAAAACTTACCAGGGAGTAATTCTGCAAACCCACCCCATCCCCTCCCCTAGCTGGGAGGAAGTCCCTGGGTGTGTGTGTTGGTGGTGGTGGCGGGGTTCCTTCCATGGTTGGGGAGAGAGGAGGAAGGGCCTAGAGATTTCTAGGGAGGGGGCCACAGTCCTTAGGCCCTGAAAATAACCCGGGAGAGCTGGGGCGGGAGCAGGGTCTGGAGTGATGGTCTGGGCCAAATTCAAACCCTTTCTGGGCAGGCCATAAGGTATGAGTGGCCATCAAACAAAACCAGAGAAAGGAATGGTTTTTCTTCAGTCTTGTCTCTCTGCCCAGAGGCCTTCCCCGTGATGAGGGACAGGCCTGGCCTGGAGCAGAGGTCCAGATCCTGAACAGCAGAAAATCCCAAACAGCCACGGGCAATCCAAAAAGAATTATGTTCTGTTTGGAAGTAAATGACGTTTGGAGCCTGGGGCTAGCTAGAGGATTAACTGTACGGCTCAGGCAGATATTGAATTGAATCTGGCCTCCTCAGCCTGGAAAGGCCTGCCGGGCAGGAAAGGCCAGAGGGGGCTGGTGGTGCAGAGAACCAATGCATGTTAGGCCCTACTCTGCACCAGCTCTGTGCACATACTCTACACACATTTAATCCTTCCACCAGGCAGGGTAAAGAGACAGGCTCCAAGAGGTGATCTGATGGGACCTGTCCAAGATCACACGCTTAGTAAGAGGCAGAGACTCCAACCCAGATCCCGCTGGCTCCCAGACCAGGCCCCCTGGCACCTGTGCCCCCCAAGGGAAGGAGTGGGGCAAGTGGAGTGTGTGTGGTGGGTGGAGCCGGGCACCGGAAGGGCTGTTGCAGAGGCCTGAGCCCAGCCAGGAGGAAAATCGGGCTCAGTGACTCCCCTTCTCTCACCAGAGAAGAGCCTGGACCCTGGGGCTAGGGCGGCTCCGACCCCCAGCCTGAAGTGTCCCCAGGCTCCAGCTGAGTGACGACAGGTAGAGGCAGAGAGGATGCTGACCCTCAGCCTTGTGTCTTCTCAGGGCCTGAGGCTGGTACTCTTCTCTACCTCAGGGTGGTACCAAGCTGTCACTACCTCCCTCTAGCCAAATTTCTCCCAACCACCTGCGTGTCCCTCCAGAGTGGGGACATCTGCTCAGGCCAGACCTCCTCATCTGTCAGCCACCCAGCTGAGTCAGGGCTTAGCCTGGGCCCTAAGTGGACACCCCACCAACAGAGCAGCTTGGGGAGATCCTGAGGAGGGTCATGGGGCAGAGGTGGTAGGGGGCAAGAAGGGAAGGAAGGAGGGAGGGAGACAGGAGCTGTGGGCACTGAGACCAGGGCAAACAGAGTAGAAGCCTCCGGAAGACAGATGGGGCCCTGAGGCTGACTGAGACAGGCAGTAGAGACCCTGCAACCAGCCTTGTCTCCCCTACTGCGGCCATTCCCAATCCAATCCTGTCTTCTCTCTGTCATTTTGGATTTTCCTGCTGATTTTTCCCACAGAGGAAAACGGTCTCCAGTGAGGTGGGTTGTGAGAAGCGGGCGGCCTAGAGAGGTGTGGGGCCCTGGAAGTGGGAGAGGTGAGGGGTTGGCAGCTCTGCTCTGCCCAGGCAGCTCCGTGCTGGCCGGGGGTCCTCACCCGCTCTGCCCCCCGCCCCCATATCGGGTGCTCAGTAAATATTTGTTGAGTGAGTGATTCTCCTGTGCTCCCTCCAGTGCCCAGCTGTGACTGAGATGCCAGTGATGGGGGTGGAGGCTGGTAACCAAGATGGACTCTGGACCTCGAACCCCAGCGTCAGGCTCCCCAGGATGATGGGGGGGGCATACTGATCCTTTGCCTCCAGAGATTCTGATAGCTGGGAACCCAGCTGTGTCCCTCCTTAAGGGGGCCAATCTTTTTCTTTTACTTTTGTTTATTTACTTTGGGGTAGGTAGTGCAGAAACACAGTTCAAAAGTCAAGGTACAAAAGGGTATTCAGTGCAAATCCCACTGCCCATCAAACAGCTCCTAAGTGACTGGGGTGCCTTGTGCCTCTAGATAAGGAGGGGGCCTCCCAGCCCCCACCCTTCCTGGAGAACTTAGCTCCTGGGACCAGAGTATAGTGTCCAGGTCCCTCTCAGCATTTGGGTTTCATTTTGGAGGCCAATCTTGCATATTTGGGTTTTGGGGGGAGGGGACCAGGACACTCCACCTGGAGCATGGATGGCCCCTGTGTCCAGGGGGCGATGCCCAACAGCTAGAGCCTCTCACACCACAGAGTCTGGGCTCTTTCCCGGGGCTCCCCCAGCAGAGTTCCTTGGAGCAGGGAGCTGTCAAAGCTGTCACTGTGTGCCCACAGCTTCCAGGCAGCAGTGCTGCCCCGTGATTTCGGTTGTGCTCCTTCACCCCTCAGCCATCTGACCACCCCCAGCTCCTGTCCACAGGCTCTAGCCCTTGCATGGGAAGTGTCCCCTACCCCCAGGGCTGGGTCTGGGAAGGGGCAGTCCGCAGGCCTACCTCCTCACCCTCCTCGATGTGGTAGTCCTTCCTCGTGTTGGGGCCCCCGACGAACATGATTTTGAGCTGTTTCTGGTGCCTGCAATGGATGAGCAGGGAGAGGTCCTGAACCAGCTGGTGGGAGACGACAGGAGGGGTGCAGGGCCTGTGGGGGGGCCGGAGGGAGCCTGGGTACACCTGGGAGAGGTAACAGGGCTGTTTCTGCATCACTGTCCACTGTCCCTGCCAGTCTCTGACGTGGACCCCCTCCAGTCTCATCCCAGTGTGCCCGTGTACATCCAAGAGTCTGTGTGTCTATGTGTCTGTCTGCAACTGTGTGCACGCCTGTGTCTCTCTGTTTCTGTGTCTCGGTGTATTTGTGTGTGTGTGCATGTGTCCCCCACATCGTCTGACCCAGGAGGGGGAACAGCGTGGTGGTGGATCTATCTCTTCATCAACTGGGATTCCTGCGCTGTGCTCAAGATCTCCAAATACAGGAGAGCAAACTGGAGGCCCGACCTCCTGGGGCTGGGGGCAGTGCAGGGGTAAAATGACCTTTCTCTCCCCCACCCCCTAGAGCTGTCTGATTATGAGGCTCTCCGTGCCCCCAAAACTGCTGGGCTTAAAGCTGTGAGGACTTGGGGAAGGAAGTGGAGGTGCAGAGCCCCGAGACTGCCAGCACTGGTGTCCTGGTGGTGTGTGAGGGGTCCTGGGGAGCGGTGGTGAGAAGGCTGGATCTGGATGGGGGACCAGGCCACCCAAGGCCTCAAGAGCTCAGCCAAGCAGTTTGGTCTTGGCCTGAGGAGAGCCAGGGAGCCTCGGAATTTTTTTTTTTCTTTAAATCAACTTTACTAAGATAGAATTTAGGTACATACAGAAAGTTCTTGAATGAGCCCACTCAAGAACTATTTCAACCCATCAGTCAAAATGCGTAAGCCAGACCACGTCCTTCCTCTGCTCAAAACCCTCCAGCAGCTTCATATGTCCCCCCCCAACTCCAAATCCATATATTGAAGTCCTAACCCCCCTGTACCTCGGAATGTGACCTCTTTTGGAAATAGGGTCATTGCAGATGTAATCAGTTAAGCTATGCTGAGGTCATACTGGCGTAGGGTGGCCCCTAGTCCAGTACAACCGGTGTCCTTATGGAACGGGGAGACTCAGACACAGACACACTCACAGGGAGAATGCCCCGTGAGGGTGAGGCAGAGACGGAGGTGACGCAGCAGACGCCAAGGAATGCAGAGATTGCCACCAAACCCGCAGGAGCTGGGAGAGGCCAGAAGCAGACTCTGGCTCACAGCCCTCACAGCCAAAGGGGGAAAAGTCACAGCCCTCCTTTGCCCTGTGGCTGCCATGTCTGCCTGCCTGCTCCCACCTCCTGCTGGCTTCTCTTTGCTGCCTCCTCCCACTGCAAGGTCAGCCCCCTGAGGAAGGGACTTCGGTCAAGCGGTTTCCTGCTGTATCTCCAGCGTCCCGAACAGTGCCTGGGATGGAGCAGGTGCTCAGTGGCCATGTACTGAATGAACAAAGGGAGGGTTTGCATTTTGTGATTGTTAATATCGGGGCAGCACTGGAGGGCTGGGTGGGGGGCTGCCTGGGGAGGGCCCACGCGGGACTGGGAGCCTGAAACGGGCTGGGAGGCAGAAGCAGCCCGTTACTGCCCAGGCTGGAGGTGACAAGGGTAGAACCAGAGCAGTACTCTTATAGGGCTGGAGAAGAGCAGACGGATCTGAAACACCGTTAGGAGAGAAACTGGAGGACTGAGAATGAGACTGTGGCCGGGCATGAAGTGGAGGAAAGAGCTGAAGGCGACAACAGTGGTAGAAGAGACGAGGCTTTTGGGGGAGATATTGACTGTTAACCGTGGCGGTATTGCACAGTGACCAAGAGTGTGGACTTTGGAGTCAAACTCTTCTGTGGGCTTGAGTCTGGACCCTGTCCTGCACTAGCTCTGTGACATTCGGAAAGTTACTTATTAAAATCTCATGGGGCTACTGTGAGAACTAAACGAGATGAGGTAAAAACACTTGGTACGGTGTCTGGCTTGTCAAAGTGTTAGTGATTGTAGCTGTGTGGTTTGAGGGGCCACCCTGTTGGAGATGTTCTGTGGACACAGCAAACATGAGACTGTGAGCCTGGAGCTGGGGAGCACACCAGGCTAGGCCGCAGAGCTGAGTGAAGGGGAGTGGGGTGAAGGGTCCACAGGGGACGGTGATCAGCCCTGTTGGGTGCTGTGGGCAGAGGTGGCTAGGGAGGGCCTGGTGGGAGTGTGTGTGCTGCCCGCAAAGAGGAGACCTGGGAAGAGCAAATATATCAAGATCCTCCTACAGGAGTGGATCCCCTGACTTCATCTCTGCCTGTGGCTTCCAGGACAGAGTGGGGTGTATGATTGGGCTGTCCCCAGACCTGGGCTCTGCTGTAATTCTAGAGCATTGAAAACCTCCCTCCCCAAACTGAGAGCCACTGGGGGTTGGAGAGCTGTTTCTCAGCCCTGGGGGTCAGGGCTGGGACCTGCCACCTGCATCTCTCCTAGCCTTAGAGTCACCCAACCATCCTCAGAAGGCAAAGTCACAATCTGCACGCAGAGTAACCAGAAAGAGGAACAGAGGAGGGTAGGGGAACCCGGAACAGCCAGCCCTCACCCTCCCCTGAAGGCACCGTGAGGATGACAGTCCCCTTTCTGCAGGCTTCTGGGTCAGGAAACGTGGAGCTGGAGGGTGAGAGATGAGGGGTGCAGATGGAGGAGGAGGTGAGGACAGAGGGCAGGAGCACCGGGGCGTGCCTGGGACTCACAGGAGCTTGTTGCAGACCGGGGGCAGGAAGGAGGCCCGGTTCTCCTCCACCCAAGTTTTCACTCTCACCAGACGCTCCATGGCCGCCCGGGGAGCCGCGCTCTGGAGCGTGTGCCTAGGACCGTCGGAGGGGCGCGGCTCCGCCCAGCCGCCTATGGGCCGCCTCATTAATCAGCATCCCGGGGGTCAAAGGGCGGGGCAACTCCCCCTTTCCCCAGGATACCTCTGTGGCTGGGGCAGGGGTCTAGTGCTCTGGCCCCTCTCGGACTTTGGTCTGGAGCTCGCCTGCCCTCCGCGCCGCCCCTGGCCTGCCCTTGCCAAGCCCTGCAGCCTCCGCGCGGGGGTGGAGTGGCGGGTGTGGGAGATGGAGGTGGGGGAGGTGGGGGAGGTGGGGGAGGTGGGGGAGGTGGGGGAGGTGGGGGAGGTGGGGGAGGTGGGGGGGGATAGGGGGACACCGCCACGCGCCTCCCCTGCGTCCCTGCAGGCACCGGCTTGGCCTGGGCCGCACATCCTGGGCTCCCCGCACACCCGCGCGGGGCTGGGAGCCTGATACAGGCAGAAGACATACGATCTAGAACCTTCCTGGTCCCTTGTCCCCAGACTTTCCTCTTGGGCCCCAGGGAGGCCGAAAGAAATACTGTAATGGGGAGGAGGCGGGTTTGGAAATCCGAGCGCCTGATACAGGGGCGCTAGCACTGGATTGAAGCCTCACTTTCTCATCTGGAAAATGGGAATGCCTACACAGCCCTCTCCGGGTTGCACAGCGGCCACCACAGGCCCAACGTCATGTTAGTTTTTTGTCTCTCGCGAGGACGGAGGTCAGGCCAGAGTCCCCAGATTTACTTAGTGCCGCTCGCTGGGCGCTGCCTTTGGCTGGGGGAGGGAAGCCGTCCGGGAAAGGATGGGAGGAGCGCCTGCGGGCGCGATGCTCTCGAGCCCCCGGCGCACGATAGGGATCCGCAGGACCCGGGCTGGAGGGCGCTGTCTCCTCCGCTGCGTTCGCCCGAGGAGGTAGAGCACGTCAAGAGCCCAGCACTGTTCTGAGCACACTCCAAGTCTTAGGGACATGCTCAAGTCACGTGACAATCATATGCGGAGTTTTACAGATGAAGAATTGGACACTCGGTGTCCTAGCCCTCAGGAATCTCGGGGCCTGGGGGTGGGGAGGGCGGGCAAACCTGTGCTAATATTACAGCCCGGTGTGGCAGGCTCTCACCCAGTCATCCTCGGGGGCGCTGGGGAGACTTGGTACCTCTGTGTGTGGGTGGGGATTCGGAGGAGGGTAAGGACAATTGGACACCTGCTTTTCTCTTTCTTTCTTCCGGACTCAGAATTCTTAGGAAAATTGGGGGTGTGTGTTGGAGGAGGGTGGAGTGGGGAGGTGGAAGGTGGGGGAGAAGGAAAATAGCTCAGGCTCTGACACCAGAATCCAGAGAGGGTATAGGGTGTAAGAAAGTCAGAACTCTCCCTTGCGGCTCCTGCCTCCCGGCCGTCTTGCCCCCTCCCTGCTGCCTAGAGTGGGCTGGTTTTCTCAGCACCTTCAGACACAGAGACTCCCCTATGCAAATCAAAACCCAGTCAGAAAGGAAAAAAAATTCCCACCCACCTCCGCTGGAACCCTCCTGTTCCTTCTCCACCTCCACCCCCTTTTTTTTCCCTTTCTCCCTCCTTTTTCTTTTTAATTATTTATGTAGAACTTTTTTGCTGAGCATTTCCTTCTAGAATATTGTTTGGCACCAAAATAACTCAAACCATATTCTTTATCTTTCTCATCTACAAGTAATCAGAGGAGATGTAAACAGTGACACATAAACACCAAGGATCTATGATGTGTTAGGTTTGCTTTGGATGTTTGTTAAACGGATGGATGGATGACTGGGTGGGTGGATTAGGCATGAATGAATTCACACCAATAGGAAAAAAATGATTTCATTCTAACAGATGTTCTGTTACTACTAAAAAGGAAACAATGATAGTTACCTTGTATTTTAATCTATATAGTTAACATGAATAATTGAGGCCACAAGTAGAATGTTTGGGATCTGAATTATCCAGATGAATCCTAAACACAGGCTAAATAATCTGTTCTCTCTGGTTTGTGCTGTGTGGAGAAAACACCATGTCTATTCCATTGGTAAGCTGCCTGCCTAGCTTGGATATTGGGCACCATTTAACTCCAATGTTCAGAAAACTGACAGTTCCCATTTTCTCTGGGTGGTCTGGCATCATGTAGTCACAGCCATCCAGAATCCTTCTGGGTATTGACCTGTGGGCTCCTTCTAGATTTTGGATCTTACCTGCTCGAAGTAGCCACCCTTCCCCACTGTACACAGGAGCTGATTTGCACTGCGGAATCAGAAGCAAACAGCATCTGCCTGGGATCAGAGATCATCAGAGCCTGTCCCACTTGCTGGGGCATTGCTCTGGCTCCCCTGCATGGTGTGTGCCCGCCCAGGCCACTGAGTCCAGTAGATGCTCCTAAGCTTTGCTGAACCTGGCTGGTGATAACTGCCACATCCCTTCAGTCTCTCAGTGGACAGAACTAGTTGCTCCGGCCAATCCGTTTTCCAGCCCACCTTGGCCTCTCTCTGCCTCTCTGCCTCTCCCACTTTCCCACCTTTTCACATAATTCAGTAAATACTTAAGAATAAATAGCTTTATGTGAATAAAAGGGCTAGATCATGAACTGTATTGGTTATTTGGGAATCTGGGTTCTGGGCCTGCTATCTTTTTAACTGGGGTTATTTACAAGTCTGTTTTAAAATTTCTAAATACATAATTGATTTATTTTTTGGGGGGGGGGGTTTAGGCCATCATTTGTTTTTCACTTCTAATTTTATTGCATTGTGGTGAGTGAAGATGGTCTGTGTATTATTTTGGGGTGGGAGGATGTGTTAAGATTTCCTTCACAGCTGAGCCTATGGTCATTTTTTGTGAATGTGTATTCTCCGCTGAGAATACATTTCTAAATGCTTCTATTAGATCAACCTGTTAGGTTACCCTAGTAATCATTATCCTTATTTTTCTAATTGCTTAATATTTTAGTTTCTGAGAGAAGCATGTTAAAGTCTCCCATTGTAATTTTTGGTCAGTTTCTCCTAATGCTTTGAGCAGATTTTGCTTTACATATTTTGAGTCTATGTTGTTAGATGTAAAAAGGCTCATGACTATTTTATTTTCTTGTTGTAGTGTTTCTTTTATCAATATGAAATACTTCCTCTTAGTTTCTTGTCATCTTTGTCTGATACTGATATTGCTATACCTGCTTTTGTGTGTTTGTGTATTTTCCAGGCATGGTAAGTTGATTGAAAAGATGCCAGAATAACTCCTTCCCTTCTCGAAACCATACCTCTTGCAATGTGACTTTGCCATTCTTCCCATCTAAGGTGGAGTCTGTTTCCCCACATGTTTGATTCATGGTTGCCATTGTGACCTGCTTTGAATATAGAAGGCCGCAGAACTGATGCTTTGGGACATCTGAGTGGAGTCCTCGCTAGGTCTCGCAGCAGCTGCGCTCATCACCTGAATGCCACTGCCACCACACGCAGAAGCCTGGGCTGGCCTCCTTGAGGGTGAGAGGCTGAGTGGAGAGTGGGGTCGGCCAACAGGCAGCCCCATCTGCGTGACACCATTTTCGACCCTCCAGCCTGACTTGAGCTGCTGGATGATGGCAGCTGCATGAGTGATCCCAGAGGAGACCAGCAGAGGACCTGACTAGCTGAGCACAGGTCAAATTACAGACCCACAGAGCAAATAAAATGGTCGTTATTTCAAGTCATTAAATTTTGGGGGTGGTGGTTAGACTGCAGTAGATAACTGAGACACCAAGTTATTTGTGTCGTTTTCTGTCATTTTCTTTTAGGTATACTGCTCATGAATAGCACATAGCAGGAGTTTAAAAATATAGAATCCGAGAGCCTCCATTACTTAACAGGTGGATTCAACTCTTTCATATTTGTGTGATTATTGGTATGTTTGTACTTACTCCTGACATCTTGTTTTGGGTTTTCTAATCTCCATGCTGTGTTTGTTTCCCATTGCTGCTCTTACAAATTATTACAAACTTAATGTCTTAAAATGACACACCTTTAGTCTCTTATAGTTCTAGAGGTCAGAAGTCTGAATGGGTCTTACGGGCTAAATTCAAACTATTGTCAGAGCTGCATTTTTTCTGGGGCTCTAGGAGAGAACCTGTATCCTTGCCCTTCCCATCTTCTAGAAGTCACCTGCATTCCTTGGCTCAGGGCCCCTTCCTCCATTGCTGAAGAGCATCACTCCCACCTCTGCTCTCCTCTTTCTGTGACTCTCCTGCTTCCCTCTTTTCCTCATAAAAGCCTTTGTGAGAACATTGGACCCACTCAGATAATCCAGGATAATCTCTCCATCTCAAACTCCTTAATGTAATCACATCTGCAAAAGTCCTTTTCATCATGTAAGGTGACATACTGTCAGATTCTGGGGATTAGCACATGGGGGTCTTTGGTAGGGGGAGTGGATGGGAGAATGGGACATTGTCTACCACATACACCTTCTTGTTTTTTCTTTTGTTTCTCTTTCTCTCTTTCCTAGTTTATCAGGATGCTCATGGCTGCAAGTAACGGAGACCCCAGGTAAACAGTGGCCTAGCCAAGAGAAAGTTAAAGTTAAAAGGTCATGTAACTGTATACCCAGAGGGAGAATGAGCCTGTGTCCCAGTAGTGTCATCATGGACCCTGGTTCTTTCCATCCTTCAGATCTGCCATCTGCAGCATCAGCTTCACCTCAAGGCTGGTTCCCTGAGGGATCAAGGCATGTATACTGTCCACAGCTTTTCCTTTAGACCAGAGGTTCTCAAACTTGCCACCACTGACATTTTGGGCTGGATAATTGTTGTGGGGGGGCTGTCCTTTGCATTGTAGGATGTTTAGCACATCCATGGCTTCTCTCCACTAGATGCCAGTAGCTTTCCCTCAGCTGGGACAACCAAAAGTGTCTCCAGACATTGCTAAATGTCCCTAGGGGGCAAAAGTACCCCCAGGTGAGAACCAGGTGTGTTTCCTGGCAATATGAGGCTCACATGCCCACACCCAAAACAATTACTGGGGCAAAGGGAGTGGGATACTCTGATTGATTTAGTCAAATTAAGATTTGTACCTGAAGCCGGAGATGGAGTCGGCTTCCCCAAGGTCAGTGGCCATGAGGTGGGGGGGGGGGCGGGGGCTGCGATACTCACAGGAAACTCTGGCTCCTGCCT